TTTTCTACTAACTCAAATGAGCCAAAATTTTGGTGGCATACACCTTATGCAAGGTAGAAGCCACATGATTTTATTTATTTATTTATTTATTATTATTTATTTTTTTTTGCGCTAGGTTGGACAACCGCTGTCCGATCCGACGTCCGACCAGACGTTCGTTCGGACATCCCGGACGGTCAGGGGGGTCTCGGACGTTCGTTAAAACAACCTAGTTTTTAGTAATATTTTTGTTTATAATTTTATAGGATATGTATCATGATTGCTTGTTATTCATTTTTGTTATAATTGTATGTTCATCTTGACTTTTTATTTCTTGAGACTTTGAAGTTTATATATATACATATATATTTTTTAATTAAAATATTTTATTTTTAATATATATATATATTTTTTTCAGTTCTGTTGTTAACTTGAATGCCTTAACTAACATTAAAGTTTTTTTGATTTTCACTCATTATTCTGGCTGTTCGTTTGAAACTTTAATCACAATCTTTCTTTTCTATTTCTTTTTTTTTTTCGCACTTTATTTATACTTGCTCGCCCCTATCTCGCGCCCTTTCTCCACAATTGTAAAGCACACAAATAAGATACCTTCTCAAGTTTTTGTAAACGAAGTTTGCGCCAAATCATATAGATCAACCAATTTAGTGGTTTGTGAAGTGTCTTAAGAATCACCGCATGCTGATGTTCGATCAAGAGGGACAACAAAATCGTCGAGAAAAATTGCAAATTCTCAAACAAATATGGTGTGTTGGGTTAATCAAGTGGGGTGATGAATTTACCTGTATAATAACAGTTTTTCTTATTATATATTTTTTTTGTTGTTGTTGAATTGCATAAGGGAAATTTAACCTTGACACTGAAAATTTCAGTTCCTACAAGGAACTTTACCTATTTTTTACTATAAGCCTTGGTACAAGGTTCAAACCTTTACTAAAACTCTCACGGAAGGTAGTGTTGGGCATGAGGTTGTCTATCACAAGGGTCTATTTCCAGAAGTTGGACAATTGTTGAAAATGGAGCAGAAAGACATAAGAGGAAATAGAGGGAACTCATGAACAAAATGGAGATTGGAAGACGAGTTCAATTAAAAATGAAAGCGCAAATTGTCAACAAGCCTTCAGAGCTTCACGGATTTGCCCGCAAGCCTCCCCGAAAGTCCCTTTTCATCCATAAGGGTATCTTGCATGGGCCACTTATGGAAATGTACATAGAAAACCTTCGACTTATTGCCAATAAGCCCTCCCGCCCATTGTACTATTAAGAGGCCCCCAACTTTGGGGGCTTATTGATAATTTATAAGTAGGGCCATATCAATAATTGGAAAGAAACTGCCAACGGTGGCCTGACAGAAACGAGAAACCCATGGCACCCTCCAGGCCCCCTTGCAGAGTGACGGTAGGCCGGTAGGGGATTGCGCTCTTCCTTTTCCTTTTGTTGAACAATCGTTTTCCACTGTTTGCTACAGATGCTGGACCCGTTATTTTGTTTTATTTTTATTTTATTTTAAATAAGACCCAACCAATTCAATTATCTGTAAAATCTGGACAGGACAGCCCTTCAGGCCTTTTTTTTGTCATTATAGTATTACGGGGAACCCCGTAGTAACCACATTCGTGCTCAAGCCTCCAACGAGGAAACATGTGGGAGCTGCACCTACCAGCAGGTGCGATACCTGCTACAGCAAGTGGGCGTACCGGCCAGGGGTCAGCCGGTAACATCATGACCAAGCTTCTTCAATGGGCCAGTCATTACGCCTCCCCTCCGGTCCCCTCCCCCTATGAACATCAGCAGTCTTTGCTCAATGCTGGCAGGCACTGTTCCTCACTAATAAATTGGAGCTCTCTTAAAAAAAGAAAAAGAAATGGCGAACTGGTAAAGCTTCACATCTTTTGAAGGGTTGACGACCGGCACGGTCTGGGGACTTTTGGACAGTTGAGTCTAACTTGGGGGGCTTAGGGCCTCGTTCCACAACACTTGAGTTCAAGAGCGAAGCGGAAAATCATGGTTCCACCCCCTCCTCAGAGCGACCCGCTTTGTTTCACTTTTTTGCGTCCCAAGGCTGCGCCCCTGAAAGGTAAGGGTGACACAACCAAAATCGCCCTCGAATTCAAGTCACCTCCCGGAGGTACCTTAAGTGCAAGTGACAGGGGAGGTACCTTGAGTGCAAGTGCCAGGGGAGGTACCTTGAGTGCAAGTGCCAGGGGATACCCCCAACACTCGAAGTGGGGCCTTTGTTTTTTTGTTTTTTTTTTCCAGCAGGCGATCCTGGTCCAGGGTTGGTCAAGCCCTGGAGTTCGGTTTCAAGTGCAACCTGTTCAAGGGTTTCCTCAAGTGCACATGGAACCATGAATCAATCGTGCAAATTAATCACAATTTCTCGTTTAGTGTGTGTGCACTTGAAACTCAAATATTTTCAAGCGGTGTGGAAAGAGGCCCTTATTCGACTGTCTACCTGCGATCGACCAGTGATCTGACAGCCGGCCATCGTCACCCGAGAGGTTACATTCCGAACCTCTATTCCGGCTCCGAGGGCGTCGAGCCATGCCTGTGTTCTCGATCTCGGCAGCATCTTGTTCGATTTTCTACCTGCCTATGACTGACCAATCACCTGACAGCTGGCCCGTCATCCATGAGGTTACATTCCAAAGCTCTATCCCCCCTTCCGAGCCTATTCCGAGCCTGTTCTGAGCCTATTGCGAGACTCTTCTGAGCCTGTTCCGAGCTTATTCCGAGCCTGTCGTCAGCCTCTACCCCTTTTTCGGACCCTCAATATGTCGCCGCCTCTATGTAACCTATTCGGAGCCTATTTGGAGCCTATTCGGAGCCTATTCCGAGTCTATTCGGAGCCTATTTGGAGCCTATTCCGAGCCTGTTCCGAGGCTATTCCGAGCCTATTCCGAGCCTTTCTCGGACCCTCTATGACTCATATTTTCTTCGGACAACAACCAAAAAACTTCAACCTCGAGCGTCACATGGCTTTAATGAAATTGATCGCCATCGCAGGTACTCCCCGCGGACGAAAAACCGAAAAATTCGAATTTGGAAAAAATGAAAATTTGAATGTGGCGGCATTGTGGCCATAATTGTTCCCCTTCCCGACAAATTGCGATGGGAACGGACACGAACAATCAAACAGAAAAACTAAGGCCATGCGCACGCGAGGATTGGATGTAATCTGGCCGCTTTTACGGCCAGGAGTGAGTTTACGTGACCGCGATTACCTCCACATGCATGTTGAAGACGTCCCAGTGTGAGTATGCCCTGACACAAAAAAAAAAAACAAAAAAAAAAAAACGATAACAGTCGCGAAAACAAAAGCAAAAATAATCGACAAATGGTCGAAATTACAAAAAAAAAAACAGAAGCAGAAATTTTGCAGGTTCTCCCTTGCACAACAACTCCTCTTCTTCATCTCCATCCCTTTTGTGAAGGGCGTCCTCTCCCTCTCCTCTCTCTCCTCTCTCTCCTCCCTCTCCTCCCTCCCCTCCTTCTCTTCCTTCTCTTCCCTCTCCTCTTCTCCCTGTCCTCTGCTCCTCTCGGAGGTTCCTTCTCCTGGGCCGAGGTCCCACTAGCAAAAAGGATAGGATCGAGCTTCTGAATCTGGATGTGTTTTAAGCAGAGATGCAGAAAAGCAGTTCAATTGCGATTTCCTGCACATCTCCATAAACTCGTCCAAAGTCAGGCATTCGATCCGATCCACTTCGCTAGTGGGACCACGCCCCTGGCGAAGCAAATTAGAGGGGAGAAAAAACGGATACCCCCCCAGCGCAATGGCTGAATGGTACGTACGTACTTTCCCAAAAAAAATAAAAATAAAAAAATGGTACGTACGTGTAACTGTTGATGAACAGATCATGAGTTCGAAGCCTGCTGATGGAATCCGATAGGTAGGAGCTACGCAGGTAGTCCATTAAAACAAAAGTAGGAGGAGGGCAGCTGCTATTTTTTTTTTTTTTTTTTTTTTTTTTTCCTGCTGCCATTCTTACGTTACTCCTCTACGCCAAGTCCTGCCGGACTCTCTTCTTTTTCTTCTTTTTGTCGAAGTTTTGAGATGCTGCTGATTCTATTTCCATCGCAAGTACTCCTTCCCCCAACTTTGGGAAAATGCTTCGTCTCTTCTTCCCCCGCTCCTTCTCTGTTAACTCCATCGCTATCAAAGCATCACCTCAGTAGTTACGTCTCTATCCTCCTCTTCTCCGCACTTCCTCCGTCTATTGCCCCTACCCTTCTCCTTCTCCTCCTCCTCCTCCTCCTCCTCCTCCTCCTCCTCTATGTACCAAAGCTCTCTTCTGTTTCCGCAAACCTTTTTATACTCTTTCTCCCAATCTTCTTCCCCTTCGTTCTCTGCAACCCTTCGTGCCTTCTTTCTCGGTATCCCCTCCTAATTTTCCACTTCCCCTCCCAATTTCCTTTGTCTCAATTCTTTCATAACCCCCTGTTCCTCTTTCTCTAAACCCCTCCTCATCCTCTTTCTCCAAAACCCTAGACCTCCACCTCTCTTCCACCTTTTTTTTGTTCCTTTCCCACGCGCTTCTTTCGACCAACGCGTTTGCATCGAGCTGTCATCCTGATCGCGGCTACCTCCGCTTTTTTAATAAACCGCTGATAAAACATAAGCATACCTCCTCCACCCCTTCCTCCATTCAGACCTCCTCTTCCACCTCCAACACCACCGCCTCTATCCAGGGCTGCTGTGAGAGAGAGAGAGAGAGAGAGAGAGAGAGAGAGAGAGAGAGAGAGAGAGAGAGAGAGAGAGAGAGAGAGAGAGAGAGAGAGAGAGAGNAGAGAGAGAGAGAGAGAGAGAGAGAGAGAGAGAGAGAGAGAGAGAGAGAGAGAGAGAGAGAGAGAGAGAGACTCCAGCACTTCCTCGATCCAGGCCTCCTGCACCACCTCCTCTATCCAGACCTCCTCCACGAATTCCGTCACCGCCTCCTCTATGAAGCCCTCCTCCCAAAAAAACCAAAGCCAAAGAAAAAGATCTCCTGCTCTATTTCCACCCTCACTTTCTCTTCCACCCTCCACCTTCTCCATCCAGGCCACCTCCAGAAATGATTTAAAACTAGAAAAAAACAAAAAAAACACTAGAAAAAAGGAGAGATGGATGACGGAGGGAGGTTCCCGCCAACAAATCGATCATCTGGCTGAGGTTTTTCCATGACAACTGATGTGATGATGTGATCTTTGGCGCCAAAAAAAGAATGGTACCCTGGCTGTGCTTCTTCGATCGATAGATGGGTATTAGGTAATGTGACGTGACTTTTTGACCTACATCTCTGCTGGATCGTGACCCGTGACATGTGTCTGTCTGTTTTGGCCAGTTTAGGACAATGCAGTGCTTTTTCTAAAACATAAATTATTATTATTATTATTATGTTTTTGTGCTGTGCATTTTTGATCTTACAGTCTGAAGGAAATCGCGTTGGTTGACCGGAGGAACTAACGATGGGCGAGGAAGAAGAAGAAGAAAGCAGAGTGGCTATGGCGGATCGGCAAGAAGAAGGGGCGGTAAGAAAGGAGGAAGAAGGAGCAGAATCACGGATGCAAACAGACGATGAAGACATTGTCATGGCTGCGGAGGATGCAAAGGGTGAGGACGGCGAGGAGGAAAAGGCAGAATCACCGCGGGAGGAAAGAGGTAATGCTGTCGTGGAAGCGATTGGAAGGGCCGCCGCGGGTGACAGCGGCGGGGGGGAACCCTCTACCGGGGGAATAGGCGCGATAGCCGCAGATGTTTTCTCGTGGCTATTCGGTTCAAATACTCCAGGTAGAGAACATGAAGGAGGAGGAGGAGGAGGAGGAGGAGGAGGAGGAGGAATAGGCGGGGGAGGAAGAGGCGGCGGAGGAATAGCTGGCGGAGGAATAGGAGTAGCAGGAGTATCGGGATACGGTGAGAGAGGAAGAGTAGTAGTAGTAGGAGGAGGAGGAGCAGTGCGAGCATCGGGGTACGCCGGTGGTGCAAGGATCGAAGGCCGAGCAGGTGAGGGCACTTCAGAAGGACGAGAGGAGACGGTAGTACAAAGGGACTTGGGCGGCGGAGGTTCGGTGAGTTGTACATCACGGATTCAAAAAATGGACTTGGGCAAAACAGCAGCAGCAGCCAAGCCAGCGATCGACGTGATGGAGGTGGTTAAGGCAGGCGTTGACAGCGCCGGCGGCGACGAAGAAAGGGGTGATGGAGGACAAAGAGGAGGTGGACAATGCAGGAGGGCAGGGGAACTGGGAGGAAGAGGGGGAGGAGGAGAGCAGGGAGAGGCAGCAGCATTTCTTGCGAGAAGCGAAGGACAGAACGGAAGTAGTGATCGAGGTGGAAGCTGTGGCAGCAAGCGGAGAGTGGAGAACTTATGGCGGAGGAGGTACTGGAGTATGAGGCGGAACTTGTTGGAGGGTTTGATGACACGTGGCGATGATCTCGAGGAGAAGAAAGACACGTGGCATCTGGTTCGAGCGTGTGTTTCGTCGTTAGCGAACGAGCTCCTTCCGCGTTCATCGTGGTCGTCGTGGTGGTCGTCGTCGTCGTCTTCCCTTGGCCCGCCGTGTATGCATCTCCCCCACCCCCACCTCTTTTGTCCATTACTTGTGTTGATTGCTCGATATCTGGAAATGCTCTTGCATAGATTGGCAAACTCTGCTGCGCGTGTGAAGAAGGGAAAACTGGAAACAGGCCAAGGAGGAGGAGGAGGAGGAGGAGGAGGAGGAGGAGGAGGAGGAGGTGGGAGAGCGGGACTTACCATAAGTAGGAACGAAGTTGAAGAGGTTGTCTGGAAGTTTGCCGCGTCGTTGCAGACAATCCGAAGGATTTGTTATGTATATAGTCATGGATATAGTAATAGTTCATTAACGGGAACACAACGGCCAGTGGCTGGAAGACGACGATCTGCAGAAGGTGGTGGGTGTCCTACGCTGAGTCAGGAGCGTTTGGAAAGGAGCAGAATCGCTGACATGGAGAAATCGTTGTCGGGGTCGGGATCCTCGAGGTCTGAGGGGCGCGGCCTGCCTTTGCAGATGACGAGAGTTGTTGACGAGTGTTTGGACAGAATATGGCGTTGCTGTGGCGTTCAGGAAAAAGGGGATAATCGCAATGTCACGAAACGTCGTCGTTCTGATAACAACGGGGGGTTGACACGTGGCGAGGCCGCGTTTGGCGGAACTGACGATGCTGGCTGCCAAGGCGCGGCATCGCATGAGAGGGGGGACGGTATGATGACTTCAACTTCAGACCGCTGGCTGATTGGTCCAGATCGGGATCGACGATCAGGGTGTAGTCTGGAAGGAAAGCTGTGGGGAGTCGTGCAGAATGTCATTGTGTCAGAGTATGAGCAGGTACAGGCGCTAATCTCTGCTCCGCCCGCGGAGGGGAGGGAGGAGGAGGGTGTTAATAATAATAGGGTTTCGTGGAGGAAGGAGGGGGCACAGGAGGAGGGGGCGGGCAAAGTAAGGGAGAAGGGTGAAAGGGGGTTAAGACGACAGGCTATGGTCAGGAGAGTTCTTCTCGAATTTGGCGGGCTGATGACGAGTGGTCGATCGGAGGCCGCTAAACGACAAAAGACCATGGAAAAAAGCGGCGTCGTCGTCGTCGTCGAAGCAGTGAAAGATGCTCATGCCTCTTCTCCAAGTAGTCTTAATCATCATCTTAATCATCATCTTAATCATCATCCTAATCATCCTAATCATCTTAATCAACTTAATCATCATCTTGATCTTAACGGCTCGTTGGTTCATCGAGAGAGGGCGGAGAAGACAAGGATTGCTGGCATATGCGGCCTGGTCGCTGACGTGTTAAGAGTGTTGGATCCGGAGGTAGACGTGGCAGAGCACAGGGAGTTTCTTGTAGGAGACCTGACGAGCCAGTGGGTGGATGGAGGGTGGGGAGGGTGGACAAGGAGGGGTGGTAGTGGTAATGTGAAGGAGGGGGAGGAGATACAGATGAGAGAAGATGCTTCTGGGCCAGAGAACGGGCGGGGTAGTCGTGAAAATGTGTCGGAGGAGGGGGAGGAGAGGAAAGACATGAGAGAAGCAGCTTCTGGACCCGCGAAAGGGCAAGAAGAAGGGTTTGGGCTGAGATCAGTTATGTTGGCACACGCAGTGGAGTGTGCCTCGTGGCAAGGACTGTCTGATCTGGCCGAAGATGTCCTCCACAGGTGGAATGGAGACTTAAGGGGAGGGGGAGGGGGTGAGCTAGGAAAAGGCCGGCAGCAACAACGAAACCCTAGATTTGATGGGGGGATGGGAACAGCTGGAGGGGGAGGTGGTGGAATGTATAAGGTTGATGAGATCCGTAAGACAGCGTTTATGGCGATGAGGCAAGCTGGGATGCTGATGGAATTCTTGTTGACCTGTTTACAACACCCTAGGGTTCGTGGAGGGTGGAGCGGAAGCGCAACGAATAGCTCCCCTCTTAAGGTCAGTGGCAGATGTACAACTTACAGTACCTAAACTCTGCAAAGCTTCCTCTGTCTCACAGCTCATACCCCTTTTACTCTCTCTCTCTCTCTCTCTCTCTCTCCCTTCTTCTCCCCATTGCTTATTGGGTTTGCCATCCTGCCTTCTTTCTTATCTTCCCTATTCCGCGTCTCTCTGTTCACGTCCCTTTCTCCTCTTCTTCAATTTATCGGTGCCCACGCCACGTGGTCCTTCATGCTTTCTTAGGGGCACCATGGCGGACCAGACCGGAAAGGTCGGGACAGGTCGGGGTTGCTCATGATCATGACGGAGCTCCTTTCCTTCCTCACAGAAGCCTTTGGGGCCCATAGTATGGAGGTCTGGACTCGTGCTTGCTTGCTTGCTTGTTTATGGGGTTCTCCTTATCGGGGAGCCTCATCCGTGGCTCTGCTTATCGGGATCGGGTGTGGGCGAGATCCCACTAGCAGAGAGGATTGGATTAAACACCAGAATCTTGGATGCGTTTGTAGAGAGGTGCACGAAATTTCTGATTCATCTGCTTTTACCCATCTCTGCATAGAACACGTCCAGATTCAGACGTTTAATCCAAAATCTGTTTTGCGAGTGGGACCTCCCCCCCCCCCCCCGACTTCCAGCCTTAGGTGGGGCATATCACGGATCCATGCCCTTGGTTCCTTATTAGTCATCCATCCATGCTTAACTTGGTTTCTTATCGGGTCGGGTTGCTCAGGCCTTCTTACGGGATCATCATCAGGTCATGGTTGAAAGTTGGTCCGAACCATGAGATCATGATTCCTTGTGGAACGTTAAAGATCAGAGGCTTCCTTGTGGAACCTTGCATATGCTTCCTTGTGGAACCTTAAAGAGCATGGTTCTTTTTTTTTTTTTTTTTTTTCTTCTTCTTAAAGAGCATGGTTATAACTCGGGTTGTTCTTGTTTATGGGACCATGAGAAATTATGGGTCCTCCTTTGGGAACCCATCAGAATTGAACCTTGAGAATGAGCGTTCCGCTTATGTATGGAAGCATGCTGATTGGGTTCCTCGTTGTGCATGATGGTTCCATGAGGGACCAACCATGAGCTTGCTGTCTTCCTGATCGGGTTCCCCCTTGTGCATGATGTTTCCACGGGGGACCAACCATGAGCTTGTTTTTTTTGTTTGTCGTTTTTGTTCTTATGGGGTTTAGTTCATATGGTACTTTTCACACACAGAACATTAATGATCGCGGACACTGTCTTTTGTCCTTGGTTGCTGATTTGCTTGGTGTTGCTCCATGCTGTTGTGCATTTTGTAGACAACGCTTCTCCACCATTTCTTCATTCGGAGTGCACTTCATTCATTCCTCCCTTTTTTTTGTTTTTAACTCGTTACTTCATTTCATTTCATTTCATCCTTACTTATGTGCCCTGAATCGACTCGCTGCACCGCCTTAACTCACTCAGGGCATTACACTTGCACTGCTAATCTGCCTCCTGCAACCGTGGGCCTTTCAAGAGATTGATTGATTGTTTGATTGATTGACTCATTGATTCATTGATGCATTGGTTCATTGATTCATTCATGTTGTTCATTCTTCCTGTGTGTGTGTGTGTGTGTGTGTGTGTGTGTGTGTGTGTGTGTGTGTGTGTGTGTGTGTGTGTTGTCATATTCGCTATACACTCAAAAAAAGCATGACTGTGCCGAACAGACTGTTTCGTTGGACTTTCACCGACTCATCAGGAAGG